TGGGGCACAGAGTAAAAGCTGTGTGGGAATTGTTTTCATTAGGACCTCAAGAAGCCCAGAGAAGTAGCTTGCCTGTCCTTTGGAGGAGACAGAGCCAGGGTTCCAACCCAGGAGTTGACTCCTGGTCTATGCTCTTTTGTTCCCCCCACCCCCCCCAGGCTCTACTGCCTGGCAGGTGGATGTCCTGTCCTGCGGGGCATGTTGAATGGATGAATGCAAGAAGCAGAAGAAAGAAGTTGGTGGGAATATGTGAGCTCCAAAGCTGGTAATCTGCGTTGCCATCAGGGTGAAATCCCCTGGGGTGGGAGCCAGAGAACCCGGAAGTTAGACTCAGGCTTTGATAGGCCCCGTGCACCTGGGCAGGTTCTCACTCCTGCCAAAGCTCCCTTTTCTGCCTGAAAATGCAAGGGTCCAGCTTGGCGTGTCAGGCCCCTTTCTGCTCAGACCTTCTGCTTGGACTTTCCAGTTTATCTGGGTTGACTAGGATCTTTCTCTTATGATGATACATGAGTAGGCTGAGCCCTGGGTCAGTCTTTGTGCAGGTGGTGGCATGGGACTAGATTTCTGGGGTAGGTTTATTTTACAGAGGATAGGCATTCTTTTTTGGGGGGCCCCTGCATAAACAAAGGCCTATAGGCTGGCATGAGTCTGGGCTTTCAGGCTTAGCTGGAGCTGAGGGTGGGTGTTGGGGGACCATGGGTGTTGCCCACGTAGGGTGAGGAAGTGTATGCAAAGTTGGTGGTCCTTCAGGATGCCGTATATGTGTCAGACGTATGTCAGGGGTGCTCCGTATGAGATGAGGGCTTCCTATGCTCAGCTGGTGTAAGGGTTGCCATGTGCTGTGTGTGTGTGTGTGTGAGAAAGGCATATGGTCACGTGTGCTGGGGGGCTGCACGTGAGTGTGTCAGTGTCTCCTCCCCATCACGAGCATTGGGGGTGGTGGTGAGTCACGGGCTCAGCCTTCAGCGCCAACTGTCATGTTCCTTCCCCCCAAATTTCACCCCC